CTGAAAACATGAATAAATCTCTAACAGCTTCTTGATCACTACTCCTTGCCCGACACTATGAGGATTTAACTGTGGCATGAGCACAACGATGCCGTTTAACGCAGTAATGTCAAGTCGCTGCAGTTCACTTGGACCCATCTGATAGCATACTGTATGTTTTCGTTGTAAATATAGGGCAAAATACAAGCCGTGCATGTAAAGTTAAAAATACCACTATAATTCATAGAAAGTTTTATAGTCAAGATATTTCATTTAATAAGTAGTGATTAACTCACTGATTTCTACCCACCATCATAGTATTTGAAACATTACGCTTTAGTACAGGCTTCTTGTCACAAAGCCGTTGGAGGTATTACATTGACAAGGATTAGGGAAGCAGCTAATCACACTCTAACTGCTCCTGATGGAACATTACATAGGTACTAAGTATACGGTTTTAAAGAGCTGCATCCTTATGAACGTTAATCGTATGTCCAGTTCGCATTTTGAATGAACATATGTGTACAATGGGACAAACAACTAGAGCAGGGATAGAATGTTCTTTTTGCAATACCTAATCGCATGTTTAACCATTCTATTATTGACATAATGCATGAATCGATAACCAGTTTTACGGCTCAGTTTGAGCTTCCTCCAGATTGACAAAATTCTGTTTGTTTTGCCCGCTTCGCACGTATGCTGGACGTCCTTGCGAAGCAAGGAATCGGTCACTGATGGAAGGTTGCTTAACCCCGAAGCAAACGTTATCTAACGCGTGAAATCGCTGGACAATGCACAATGAGCACATCTTTAAGTTCCGTTAAACCGTTTTGACGTGGTACGCTTCTGATCCGATTAATATCTCTGAAAGCATCGGGATCTGACATATCTAATGGTCTCTGACGAAGACTAAATCTAATGCAATGAAGATTAGGGGTGCGTTTAAATAATGGCTGGTTAGAATAAAGCACGTTTTAATGCTCTTAGACTTTGTCCTGTCGGAAAATTGTTACGACGGAACCAAAATTCTCCAAAGTCAAGAATTGTAGTAAAACAGCTGGCGGGACCATCAAGATAGCCATGGTCAAGGTTCCGGAGTTCACCTAACTGACTGATATTCCTCATTTCACAGATTGAAACCGTCACAAGGATGGCTTTGAATCACGCACCACAAGAAAAGCGCTAAAAATTAATGTTAGTGACTGTAAGTAGAAACCTAGATAGAGGTCGCACGCAAAATCAAGATAGAGTGGTGAAGATATTCTATCCTGAGGATATAAGCTCAAAAAAGGTGAAATTGCTATAGCACGATTTTGAACGCGAGATTTAATAAACGGTTATGATGAAGAAAACGTCCGGAACTGAATGGAAACTGACGCACCTTTGAAGTAATGAAGTATCTAGCATTGAAGGTGTATCATAAGAAACCATGCAGAATGCCTGGAAACTTATCATGAACAGGGGTCATTTCTGGTAACTACTGACATTTGAAAACTGTGATATATGTTGACAACATTTTACGGTGTGCCCTTTGCTATGGCAGAAGCTACCCTGCAGTACAGTTATCGAACGGTGCACCAATATCCATGGAAGTTGACACTGCTCGACATCATGCATAACCGGTAGATGATGAAGAGATATTATAAAGTTCCTGTTCTAAGTGAAAGCTTCTGTGAAAGCGGAGGAGTCACTCCTTAATCAACATATAGCAATGTATGAACCCATATTCTGAATATTTTGCTCAAGCGCAAGGAATGGTGACTCCTAAGAATTTGTCAATAATGAAAACGATATAGTAGTGGGCTAGAGAACGTATGCAGGGCAACAGGTGCTCTGGTTTCACAAGCTGTGGATTGTTCAAACAGTTTCTTAGACACATAGAAACTATAAGCATGCTATCGCTATGAAATCCGGTTTTCAAGAGACTTAGCGCTTCTTATTATATTCCGGCGTGCACATTACTATATCCAGTCCAAAGCGTTGCTCTCAGTGATGGAGGTTAATAGTTACCATTTGTGATTATTTCTGCTTAATACCGGCCTGCATTCTGAACATTTTGCTCTATTATCTGGAGACTGGCAATTACCACACCTTACAACAAAACACTGGAAAGAACAGAAATAAAGACTGTAAGATGAATACTAAAAGCGAAGTGGCATGATCTAGTATCAAGTGTTGTCACAGGAAAAGAAAAGATAATTCCGCCAAAGTGACCGATTGGCTGAAGTAAGGGCATTTAAGATGATTAAGTCATTGCCAACGAATGAACTGCAGTTATCATGCGAACAGAAGAATACCGAACGCAAAGCTGAATGGCAGGCGGCTAATCGAAAGACTTCCACCAAGTTCGGAAGCTCTCCAAAGAATTGGCACAGCATTGAATGGGTTAAGGAGCGACCACGCTTGTATTCGACCTGTAGGGAATGCATCCAGGGCAGACGACGTCGTATCCGAGGCGACTAAATAAGAAAAAGAAGAAGAAGAAGAAGAAGAAGAAGAAGAAGAAGAAGAAAAAGAATTCCTTCTGAAAAACTCAGAGAACTGACCATATCAAAATGAAGCCTGGCCGAAGCACGTGTAACTAAATCTTCGCCCTATGCCAGATTGCTGAGAAATCATGGGAGTTCTCCGATCCGAACATATCGATATCGATAGTTGGACATAAGCGGATTTAACACTCATTGTGTATCGTTATGAATAAGCCGTTTCTGTTAGATTGGCTTTACTGATTATTCGTTGACTGCTGCAACGTTGTTTTCACAGTTCATTGTCATTGACTCTTTCTCGATCCACTGTTGCTTGGAAGCCTGTCCAAGGCCCTGGCACAGAATTCTCGCTCTTGTAGGTTTTATGGACTCTGTTAGAAGAAAGTTGCCCCTTAAGTTTCCGATCAGTAAGCCCTCCACCTTGTCGTTCATAACTCAATCTATTATACGTGTGGCCAAAAATACCTCCTGCAATATGACCTGTTCAATGCTATTTCAAGCTCGTCGCTCTTGCAGCGACATTGCAGGTACCTTTTGTGCCTCTAAAACATTCATTTGTCTTCTTCTCACTCCATGTTCACCCTACTGCCTGCTTTGTTAGAGGGCAGCGTTGACTCGTATAGAAGATGTTGAGTATCCATTCATTAACAGGGGAAGTACGCAATAATGGAAGGCATCTCCTTTCCAACATGATGGAGTTCCTGAAATGGGGACATTTTTTATCTTCCACGAGTGCTCCGTGAGATAAATCATATAATGAACAAGACTACTACTACTACAAAACAGAACTACTATCTTGAGCAGTTAATTTTGGTGGTTCTGGAGGTTGTTTAAATTATAAAGTTAAAATTTGTAGTTAGATTATTAGTAAGGAAGATTTATGAATGAAATCAAAGTCTATGCGCCAAATGCACTTTGCTTCATTAAGCTACATCCATGTACTGTTGATAAGCTTTTACCAGTCGTGTAGTAAAGTATCAAATGCCAAGTTTTAAGCTAAAGTAAGCATACGATTTTGTTATATATTTAATGCTGATTGCGATAATGTTACATACATTTATCCTCTGCCAGTGCCTGTTTGTAAAATAAATCGCCTAAGTTCTGTTTAGTCCGTAAAGTAAGTATCCAATTTCAGTGTTTCGCAGTCAAGCATGATCTCACACAATGGAAAGTGGATGAAGCCGCCTGTTCCGTGGAAAGCGATGGCTATGAGCCGAGTTCTGTGGAGCAACATTTTAGCGGTGCTGTGCCACGAGGCGCCCATGAGCGCGATCATGATGTTTCTGCCCATGTACATGCGAGACGTGTTGCACTTCTGCATGAAGACCAACGGAATGCTGAGCGCACTGCCAATTGCGTGTTTCCTGGTGTTCAAGATTCTGGCCACCCACCTGAACCAGATGTTGCAGGTGGTGTTCCAGATCGACCGAACGACACTGGCCAAAGGCTTCAATTTCGTCGCATGCCTCGGCCTGGGCGGCTTTCTGTTGAGCGTGACCAATCTGGATTGCCAGAACCGTATAACGGCTGTCATTCTGATATGTCTGTCGATCGGTTTCGCCGGATTCCATACGCCCGGCTGTCTCAGCACGCTGCTGTCCATCGCGCCGACCTTCAGTGGCACCATCGCCTCAATAGCCTACTTCTTCGCCAGCGTTTCTGCCATGATTATTCCCCTTGTGGTCAAGTCGGTTGTCATCTACGGTACAAAGGCCGAATGGCAGCTGGTGCTAATCGCTACCGGCTGCATCGCCCTGCTTCCCGTTGTGTTCTTCACGCTGTTCGGCTCAGCTGAGGAGCAGCCGTGGGCGCAACCTCAGCAAGCCAAGTTGTCGACGGTGTCCGTTGAAAAATTTTGAATCGTACAGAAAGAGTGCTGGATTTTTGGCTCCCAGGCCTTCTGCAGACTTTGGTAGGTGACGATTTGCAACCGTGTGAAAAATAGGCTAGAACCGTATAGCGATTACGAAGACATGCACTTCTTGCGACACGCAAAGAACTTCGGCATCAGGTTGGCTGGCCACCTACGGCATTTGCAAACTGTTCACCCCGGCGCTTCGCCTAGGAGCTGTTGGGAATGCTTTATGGGAAGATCGTCGTTTCCGATCCTCCAGGTTTCCATGAACGTCCACCGATGGGCTTCCACAGTTCGATTTCGTTGATCAATATATATGAATGATTGACAAATGTACTGCAGTTAAATCCGTTCGCATTCAGCTGCAAACGAAATTGACTGTTCAAATTATGCTGATTATTCAAATTGTCGATGTTCGTTTGATTGTACGTCAGAAAACAATTATCATAAAGGTGCTCAAACTATGCATTTATAATGGGCAGTTGTCGTTTAGAACACACTCTATTTTAACCTTTCGACCGGTCCTGCCAGCTTGGCCAGCACCTTGAACACGAAGTTTGCGGTACCAAATGACTCAAACAAGGTAAACTGATATCGCTAAGAGGTTCACTTCGCTAACATGCTTAATTATGTCGTTCCATTGGCAGGTACGGTCTGCGTAACAGTAGCATAATTGTACTTATGCCACGTTAGGGTTACCATTCGAATGCGCACGGAAAGAATAAAGAAAAGAAGAGAAAGTTTGTAACCGTTGGAATGTAGATATTCCTTACACATTCATGAGGAGACCATTACTAACGCGCGATTTTTCATGGAGCTAATGGCGGCATTCTGGTCTCTATTTCAATGCCATCCTCTAGTAGTACCTGTTTCTCAATGAAGAAGAAACAACAACATAGAGTGTAACGTTCTGATGCTTACCCTCAGACCTGAGCTCATTTATCAACCTCAGAAAGAAGAAAGGCGACTGGACCTAACGCTAGTCGAACCCCATTCCGGTTGCTCTCGGCTATGAGTCCGACTCCCTATCGGCTAGGCAACCCGCCGTTTGAAGCACCGTGCGGTAAATTCCTTGGTTAAAAGGATGACTGACATCCACCGGAATCGAACTCGAAACCTCCGCAGTTCATAACCGACATTTTAGGCACTGTGCCACCAATCTACAAAAACAGTGATCATTTCTCAAGGTAAATTCTATTGAGGATGACAATGTTATGCCATCTCGAAAAGCAGATGTTAATAAGGGATATTACG